GCCACACCACATCTCCCTTGGGAGAGTGACGGGTCACTCTCATGTAACCCCGTTACAGAAGGGGTACTGACCTTAACCAAGGTTTCTCTAAGCGACGGTAGCCCCGCTTGATTTTTCAATGTACCTGCCTATGTTTACCTTGGATTGGAGCTCCGTAATTTCATAAGTACCTATATCCTGGTACTAATGCATCTTCACAATTACATCAAGTAAAATAATCCTGTCGAGTCAGCGCTATCGTATGACGCAACCACCAGACGAAGCAGTGAAACTCTCAGGGCTGATACCGGAGGAAGGGATGAGCTTATTGTTCGTCCCTCGAGGCTTAACGCGTCATAAATGACAAAAGATACTATTATATGCTGCAGACGCCGTGTAGTTGGCTCATGCATCAGCGTTACAGCCCACTAATTTTAATACTCGGATCTCAATATCCAAATTTAGGCGTGCAATATCAAATCAAAGCCCTGCATCTAGCATGAACCCCACCCAATGTAAAAAAACGATTTGCTACCGTAAATAACCTTGCGCGTCTATTGCAACTTTTGGCTAGGGAAAGTGGAAGCAGCTTTAAACGCAATTTCATGTTGAAAGACCGTCAGGTCCGGAATGTGGGAAATATCGCGCACAAACAAAAACTTCGCTATACGCGACTCGGCCACTAAGGGAAACAGCCATGACGACGTCTAATTGGGGAAATAAAAAAATAAGTAAGCCAGGTAGCTTCAGTGACCATTACACTATTTCATCCGCTTACCGAGGCGACAAGAGTGTACCATAGAATCCCAGTAAGAATGCCGAATGCAACACCAACCACCACTTGGTCCGTCGAATGGTAGTTTAAATGAATTCGCGAGTAGCACGTCAGCATCGCCACCATTATAGCACAAACGATAGTAAGCCCTTGCTCCAGACGTCGACGCGAATTTAGCCTGGCATAACAATGAACAGCGAGTCAATACAAACATCTTAAAACGCCCAACTAGTACTCAGCTCTACCATAACCTCTTAGACGTGTAAATCACAAAGTAGGCTGCAAAGAAACCCATGAACTGTGAGTGCGCTGATGGCATCCCTGATCCGCTCATGTACGCGCCTTCTGGTCGCGGTTGGTTTATTAGCTTTTTGAGCACTTTGTTTATTGCGATACTGACAAGCTACCAATCAAAATCTGATTTGAGATCTGGTCGGAAAGAGTAAGCGCATGTTACTGATGTTCTTCTTACCTGCCCTATTAGCATGCTGATGCTGTCCAGATCTCGCTGCGAGACAACCACTGTGAGGTACACGACAATCAAGAATCTACGCATCGTAATAAGTCAAAGATCTCTAAGTGGTGTAAGTGACAGGGTGACATACATTGGAGATAGCGTGCAGAGTGCTAACATGGCCCCAAACGGGTCTTTTGGGTCGTAAACCACCCAAGTAAGCTCGAATTCCTGCACAGTCCTTGCCAGCTCCATTTAGTAGTGATTAATAGGGATCAGTGAACAGGTTTAGCCAATCAACAATGTCCATTCCCGTTATCCAGAATACAAAAAATTATGAGTGTCCATGCAACGCGCCTGGAGAGCCTATTCCAGCTCGTTCGCGGTCTGTGTATAGTCGACAATTGAGTATTTCTGGGCATGCTTGCTCAATCTACTGTTTGATCTATCTTCATGTGATTTACAATCAGAGAAGATGGAAGTTGTTTACAAATCCGTGAGAATGCTGCGGAGAAGCTGGGTGAAGCGGCGGCGTGCTCTCCTGATGTCTGCGCATCAATTTTGCAACAGCTCCGGCCTTTAATCGTGGACAAAAACTGGGACGTACGGGTAGCTGCTTCCAAGTGTCTTGATGTAGTGGGACGCTCTTTGCGGATCGAGGACGAGAACATCGCAGAAACATTCGCCTTCGTCTCACGTAAATGAACGTTAGGATGGAGCAGACAAAAGAAATGCGAATTAATTCTTCTTTCGTTCTCTTATGTTGCAGTTGGCAGTCATCAATCGTGTTATAACGCGCTAAGTTTGAAAATGGTCGATATCAATAAGGTGGTAAAGGAAGGCGCACCGTTGTTACGAAGCGGAGGAGAGGTGGATGATCTGAATGGGTTAAGATCAAAGCTACAGTAGCTAACAAGAAACGTTGCATGTGGCAGGAGTACTACTACAAGACGAATCTTACCGATCCAGAACGACGAGTCCATGCTGCAAAGCAACGTCGCTTACTACTTAAGCGTTTGAGTGGATCGGAAAGACCAATTTGGGATACACAAGAAGATCTTCTGACAAAGCAGCTACTTCCACGACTTAATCGAGACCGTGTGTTAATGTCTTTGAATTTTCGATATCAATATTGTTTGTGCTAACTTAGCGTGATTTTAGATGCACAAGAGATTGCGAATGATATTGAGGCTAGTGAGGTGATGGCTGATATGGAAGAATATCTTGCTGAAAATGCTAGCCGAAAACCGGCAATCGATTTGCTCCCTTTGTCAATACGACGGAAACGTCATTCAAATGCTGATAAAAGCAGCGCTAAAAGATTGAAATCTAATCAAGATTATCCAAACAAAGTGAATATGCAACCTGAAGGTGGCAGCATGTTTGAAGGGTGGGCTAGCGATTTCAACCATTCAAGTAAAGCAACAATTGTTGCTAGCTTGGTTTCTGATTTATTCGACAGTATGTTTGATTCCAAGTGGGAGGTTCGTCACGGCGCTCTCTTATCGTTGCGACAAATTTTGCTGTCAGCCCACTTCACCGCCGCTGTGGAGATATTTTGTATATCAGCCGAAAAGCCATCCAAGCGTGATCTTATTGATACGTGGCTGGAAGAGTGTTTGATCCGATGCATATGTGTTCTGGCTCTGGATCAATTTGTCGACTTTTCAGCTGATGGCTCGGTCTCTCCTGTACGTGAGGTTTGCGCTCAGGTTTTTGGTATTTTACTTGGCAACCTCTCCAGTAAAGCCAAATTAGTCAGGTACCTGCATGTGGTGCGAATTCTTTTTCAAGGATCGATGTGGCAGGCTTGCCACGGTGGTCTCTTGGGGCTGAAATATCTGGTTCAAGCTCACAAACGGCACGCACCAGCTTTGCTACCCTTCTTCTTTCATGATATTTTAATGACGTTCTCGTTACCCAATACAGTAGAGGATGTGGTAGTTTTGGCCGCTGATATGCTCAAAAATTTCGTGACTTTCATGGAGAACGTTAGATGTGAGGACCTGAAGAATGCTGCTCAACTGTTGTGGAAATCATTAAGGCTATACGAAAGCGCCGATTTGGCAATTACAAGCATTGTTCAAGCACTGGAGGCTTGGTATAATCATTCCGGAGTCGCAAAGATATTGCAAAGTAGCAACGAAGTCCAGACAGCGAGCTGGTCGAATATATTTCTAACAATCCCAAAGGTACATCACTATTCGCCGCAGGTTCGAGCATCAAGCGCGAAATGTGTGGCTGCCATATTTTCTAACGGAGATTTAGCGTCATCGTCAAAATTCGTCAACTTTTCAACAGTATTTCTGCCGCATTTGCTGCTTCAGTTATTTTCTGATAAAAATGAGTATGTCCAAGAAAGCTTGCTTATTGCTTGGAGGCAAGTAGTTTCAAGCTTGTCGAAAAAAGAGCTGCTCTTGCCTGTCATTGGTAAGCAATTGCCAAAGTGGATGGCTTTAATGTGGTCTCCGGACGAAATTGATTGTCTGGACGTTCGGGTTGAAGATATTGACAATGGACTGTCTAGATATGAAGAACGTTATTGTACGGACCAAAATCTACCAAAAGACTTGTTTTTGTGTGTGAAGTTTGCCGAGGCTATTGGATATGCCGCTGCTTACGTCCCCTTGTCTAGCTCGTGCATGACACGGCTGGTCGATAAAATACGCGGTAATTTTTTCAGTAGCTCTGGTGGGCGACAATGTGCTGCGCTGGTAGTGCTGACGAAATGGAGTTACTATGAAAATCATTTGAATGCTGAACACCGGCATGATCAGTCACGATTAGAGCACTTGCAGAACGTGATTGGACCTTTGCTAACAACATTTGCGGACAATCACTGGAAGAGGGCTCAGTCTGATACAGCATGCGAAGGTGGATTATTTTACCTAGAACAACTTTGTTTTTTAAAAAGGGTCAAGCAAATGGAGGGTCGAATCATTGAAATCTTCTCTTCTAAAGACATACTAATAAAGCCAATGGAAAGATCAAAATCGTTGTTGATAGCAGACATTTCGAGACAGACAGCTGAGCACGTTGCTTCTTTTCCTTATGGGAAGTTGCGTGACTACCCAGAAGCATTTAAGATGGCTCACTTCAAGCGGCAAGATCTTTTCATGGTAGACGAAAATGTTCAGCAAAGCTTTTTTCGTTTTTACCACCGAATTCAAGGTTTGGGGAGCAGCTTATATTGTGAATTGCTTCCAAATCCTAAACAAAGCGGGTTTCTAATCAAAGCGTTGATGAACTCGATAAAGAAAGAAGAAGAAATAGCCTTTCGCACCATCCTGGCACAAACAATCGCTAAATTTGTTGCTGGCCGAGTGCATACTCAGAAGAAGTGTGTTGCCAAGATTATTACAAATCTCTGCAATAATGCATCAGCTATGGTAGGTGTATCATATGACTGTGTCGACGCGACTGGCGGGGGCAAGCTTTTTCGAAACAATTGCAGCACGTCGTTCTCACCTGAAGTCACCAAGGAGACAGAGATTCGAGTGGCCGGAACTAAAGCTGCGCTTCAAGAAATCTGCAATCGCTTCGGTGGTAATGTTTTCATAATGTGCCCAGCTTTAGATGATGCCATTTCAAAGGCGTGGAAGCAGAGAAATATTGATGAAAGTACTATACAACGGTGCATGCACTTGATCATGGTGGTGGCTCCCTTTGTTAGCAGCGGTGCTATGAAAACGTGTTTGTCTTGGCTACACCCACTAGCCCAGTTGATAAAGCAGCCATATCAAGACTTATACACGCGCTGTGCAGTGGCTCACGGCGTTGCTACAATTTGTAAGAGTGCTGAAGGTCAGCATCGCGAAGATGCGATGTTTATCGTGTACACTACGATATTCGCAACGTTTTCCGTTACAGAAAGTGTCATTTCAAGTGATTCACTTGAAGGTGCAGTCGTGGTGCTTGAATGTATTGTTCACACCTTAGACTCGGATATAATCCCGTACGTACCAAGCCTTGTTCACTACGCAATGAAAACCATGAGCTCCCAGTTTACGCTTATTCGCACATGTGCAGCTAAAATATTAGCAGACTTGGTACCACTGATTCCGCTTCAGATGGATTTAAAGCTGCGTGATTTAGACCTGCAACTTTCCTGTTTAAATACAATAGTAATGGAGAATGCAGTTTCTCGGACTTTTCTACAAGGTTTAATGGTTGGTAAAGCCATTCAGCATATTGATGTTAGGTCCTTGTTGACCCCAGAAACATCGTTGCGCCTGTATCAGCAGCATGGCGTGGATTGGCTGTGCTTTCTGGCCAACAACAATCTTCATGGGATTTTGGCCGACGATATGGGTCTTGGCAAAACGATACAGGTGCTTTCCGCCATGGCTGCTACTCTAGCGGCCGTTACAGAAGGCAACCCAGTAAATCCTTGCATGATTGTATGCCCACCGATTATTGTTCATCACTGGATGCAAGAGGTGAAAAATCATTTATCTGGCGTTTTTGCGTCCATCGTTGACTACTCAGTTCCGGCGATCGATCGAAAAAAAATTAATTGCCAAAAGGGCTTTCTGAAATCGAGGCTTGGTCCAACATTAATCATAACAACTTATACGATTTTGCGTGCAGAGATCAAATTTTTGAGCTCAATCGACTATATGTATGTGGTACTCGACGAGGCACATTTGGTCCGAAATCCAGCCACAGAACTTTTTCGTGCTGTTTTAAAGCTTCGCACCTCACATAGGGTTGCTCTTAGTGGAACTCCTTTGCAGAATAATGTCACTGACTTGTGGGCTCTATTTGAGTTCTTGATGCCAGGATATTTGGGCGATTTTGGAATGTTTCGTCGCGAGTTTGCTCTGCCAATTGCAAAGTCAAAAGAGAGAAATTCGACTACAGTGCAAAAAGAACAAGCAGCGATCGCAATCACAAGATTGCACCAGAAAGTTCTACCGTTTATTCTTCGGCGAACAAAAGATCAGGTGCTAAACGAACTTCCGCCGAAAATAATCTCTAATGTGTTACTTTCGATGTCCCCGCTACAAAATCGACTTTACTCCTTGACATCGTCAGTAGAAAATGACATGACAAAGTCTGTAAAGTTTTCGGAGTCTATGTTGCAGAAAGCAAAGGTGCCTACCAACGTGCTAGCAAATCTTCAATTGCTCCGCAAAGTGTGCGTACACCCAGCACTTGTTGCTGATCAAAGCGTAACTCACGGCCTGAGTTCAAAAGAAAAGGAGGTACTTTGGGATTGGAAGAGCTCCGGAAAGATGGTTGGACTGCATGACCTTTTAGTCGAGTGTTGCGATATTGCTACGCAAAGTCAGAATTGTTATCAAACCCCCATCTTTAACTCAGGAGATACAAGCTCTTCTACACATCGCTGCTTGGTGTTCGCTCAATTGCAAAAAACACTAGATTTGACGGAGCAAATGCTACAAAATGCGCTTCCTAGAGTGACATATCGTCGTCTTGACGGTCAAATCTCCCTCGCGAAACGTGCAGGCATCGTGCAGCAATTTAATGTTGATTCTTCTATTAGCATTTTGCTTTTAACTACATCACTTGGCGGTCTGGGACTCACGCTCACTGGTGCCGACACAGTCATCTTTCTTGAGCACTCGTGGAATCCTTTTATTGATAAGCAAGCAATGGACCGCGCACATCGCATTGGGCAGACACGTACAGTTCGCGTTTTCCGGCTGATCATGAAAGACACACTTGAAGAGTACATTGTTGACCTTCAAGAATACAAGGAGAAAGTCGCTGCCACTGTTGTGCAAAAGAATGATGCTCAAAGCGGCATGCATACCAATACAAAAGGGATGCTGGACTTGCTGCGAACGTCATCAGCAACACTGTCGGCCAATGACTTTTGTGGTGAAAATGATAAACAGGTTGCAGAATCGCTTCCTCAAGGTGCTCGAGAATTGTTAGACCAGATTGGCGAGTTGTGGGACGAGGCCCAATACAAATCCTTGGCTTACCCAGAAACTATAATTTAGGTCGCAATCACGCACAGGCCATGCAAACTTGAAATGTTGGAAACAAACGTAAATTTGGAGCTGGTGCGGCCGATACTATTAGGAACGAGAAGAGATATTACATCTTTCCGCAGGACTTTTAAACGACAGAATATAGTTTTTCGAAGTTTGTCTGTTTTGACTAGGAAGTTGCCTCATAATTACTAGCCACCTATTAGTTCTTCAACATCGAGCTGAATAATGTCTGCATCGCAACCCTACGATAATAATAAGTAAGTTCAGCACTTCTGCTGCAATTAAATGAATTGCAAATAAAATTATACCAAAATTGATGAGACATTGGGATGCGTTCGACCACGATCGCCGTGAACGAACTCCTTTACATACGTGCCCGCGGACGTTGTCAGACGAAGAAGCATGTAATGCTTGTTCAGAATTTCACACTTGGCTGTATGTATAACTTTCGGTCGTGTCAATAACGTCCTACGGTGCAACACGCGGATGGGAGTCTGCTGCTGAATGGTTAGATCCTGAATAGCGTCAATGCTTGAAACAACATTAGGTGTTAAGTCATTTTTTGACCAAACAACACAGCTGATAGCACAAAAGTTATCTTGATTTAGCGCAAGTTAAA